ATATATATATATATATATATATATATATATATATATATATATATATATATATATATATATATATATATATATATATATATTTAAAAATGTAATTTTTTTATATGACAATAAAATAAGTGATATATCGTACTTTTTTCTTGTGTTAAATTAGAAGATTCTTGCATAGTCTGCTTTGTGACCTGATATAGATTATGGTGTAACAACGTTGGGGATTCTACAAATAAAAGAAAGAAATATATATTAAAAATATAATTTTTTTTTTACATGCGACAGTAATATAAAATAAGTATTTTACCTTTTGCTTGTATAAAATTAAAGGGTTCTTGCATAGCCTGACATGTATTATGATGCATCAGTTTTGAAGAAGATTCTACTAAAAAGAGATATATAAAATAAGTGTGTTATATATGTGACATACTTTAATTATAAATATGAATTAACAATAAGATATATTTATTCTTGAGGACCTCTAATTTTTTAATTCAATAATTTTTCTTTCTCAAAAACTACAGTTTTAATATATTTTACCTTTGCCTTGTATAGAATCAGGAGATTTTTGTATAGCCTGTACTGCGACCTGACATTGATTATTGTGTAAAAACAATGGAGATTCTACAAATAAGAGAAAGAGATAGTAAAAAATATAATTTATAAACAATAATTTTCAATAATTTTTTTTTCTCAAAAACTACAGTTTTAATATATTTTACTTTTGCCTTGTGTAGAATCAGAAGATTTTTGTATAGCCTGTACTGTGACCTGACATTTATTATTGTGTAAAAACAATGGAGATTCTACAAATAAGAGAGAGATAAAAAATATAATTTATAAACAATAATTTTCAATAATTTTTCTTTCTCAAAAACTACAGTTTTAATATATTTTACCTTTGCCTTGTGTAGAATCAGAAGATTTTTGTATAGCCTGTACTGTAACCTGACATTGATTATTGTGTAAAAACAATGGAGATTCTACAAATAAGAGAGAGATAAAAAATATAATTTATAAACAATAATTTTCAATAATTTTTCTTTCTTAAAAACTACAGTTTTAATATATGTTACCTTTGTCTTGTGTAGAATCAGAAGATTTTTGTATAGCCTGTACTGTGACCTGACATTGATTATTGTGTAAAAACAATGGAGATTCTACAAATAAGAGAAAGGGATAGTAAAAAATATAATTAAATAAAATATAATTTATAAACATAATTTTTTTCTTATATGCAATAGTAATATAAAATAAGTGGTATATTGTACTTTTTTCTCGTGTAGAATCGGACACTTGTATAACCTGGTTACCAGGTAACCAAGTCATCTGTCCTGTGACTTGACATATACCATGAAGCATCAGCATTGAAAAGTCTATAAAAAAATGTGCACACACACATACACACACACACACACACACACACACACACACACACACACACACACTAAAACAAAATTTATAAACGTATATTAACATGACGGTAACATAAATAACAATGTGCATTCTTGTATAGAATTAGAGAATTCTGACATTGCTTGTCTCATGTTCTGATATGCATTATGGTTCAATGATGCAATCTGCAATACTGCAGATTCTAAGAAAGATAAATATATAAGAGATAAGTATCATATGAGATATATATATATATATATATATATATATATATATATATATATATATATATATATTAAAATATAATTTATAAATGTAATTATTCTTTTTTTATAAGCAATAGTAACATAAAATAAATGATACATCATACCTTGTATAGAAGCAGGGCATACTTGCATGGCCTGTCCTTTGATCTGACATATACCATGGGGCACTAGCATTAAAGAATCTATTTAAAAAAAAGATTTATACATTAAAATATAATTCATAAACATATATTTTTTTAACGTGCTCTTAATCTAAAATAACTATGTATATGCTGTGTGACATAAATTATAAATATTAGTTAATAACAGTAACATACTAAATTTGGACTCGGAATTATTTAATTCAATAACTTACTTTCCTAAAAAGTGTGATATTAACATGTCATACCTTTTTTTTGTATAGAATTAGATAATTCTGGCCTAATCTGTCTCATATCTTTATATGCATCATGGTGCAGTAACACTGGAGATTCTACTAATAAGAGTGAGAAAGATATGAATAAAAATATAATTTATAAACGAAACTTTTTTATATGCGATAGTAACATAAAATACATGATATATCACACCTTTCCCTTGTACAGAATCAGAAGATATTTCTATAGTCTGTCCTGTAGCCTGACATATATTATGGGGCATTAGCATTGAAGAATCTAATCAAAGAAAAGGATATATATATTAAATTAAAGAAATGGAAGAAATTCTAATCAAAGAAAAGGATATATATATTAAAATATAAATATATATGAATACGTCTATATGACATATAAATTATAAATTTCATTTAATAACAATAACACATCAAATTCCATCAAGTTTCATTTCATCAAATATTGTTCTCGCTCGCAAGTTCAAGTATGAATCCTATCGAATTTTATCGTATTTTATCTGGTTATACACGATTTTGTATTCTATAGGAAACTAACGATAGAAATTCTACCACTATCTATCGTATTCTATTGTATACGATAGAATACTTTTCACATTTTGTAAATTCACGAATCAACATCCATATTCAAAACGATAGAACGATAGAATTTTATTCTATCGTTTTCTAAAAACTTTTTTTACCAGAGTATATTTAAAATATAGATATTAATTAATAATAATAAAAAAAACACTTTTTAAGGACTCCTAATTAGAGAGAAAGAGAGAGAGAGAGAGAGAGAGAGAGAGAGAGAGAGAGAGAGAGAGAGAAAGAGAGAGAGAACTTATAGTAAACAAATTATTACCTGATTTTTTGTCTGGATGGATCTCGTTTCTAACTAATTTTGTATTTTCACTGCTCATCGTTACTTCAAATAAATTATTACCTAATTCTGTGATTGGTTGGACTTTATTTGTGGTAATTACTACTTCATGTAAATTATTATCTGACTCTTCATCTGATTGGATTTCGTCTTTTTCAAATATTACGTCATAATCATCTAAATCATATGGTTGTAACATATCTAAGAAAAAAGCATAATGATAATTTCATTTTTTATCATCCTATTTCCTGAAGTAAAATTTTTTATGAAATGTTGGAACCAAATACAAGGAAAATGCAGTCCAAATCCGGAACACAAGCTAAGCATTAGATATCATTGTGCATGCCTAAGATATCAAATAATATTACCTGTTTGGGTAGTCTGATCCCGTGGATGTAAACACTTTTGAACATATTCTGTTGGTCGACTTTCCTCTTCTAATACTTCTATATTTTCAGCAGAAATCTTTACAGAGGTATCTCCAGTCTACAACAAAAGGAATATTATTACAAACTTATTAGGATATTATATACTTATACATTTTTTATAACATTTTATGTTACTTGTGATAATATCTCTGTTGATAGACTTTCCTCTTCTAATTTCTTTATATTTTCAGCAGAAATCTTTACAGAGGTATCTCCAGTCTACAACAAAAGAAATATTATTACAAACTTATTAGGATATTATATACTTATACATTATTATAACATTTTTATGTTACTTGTGATAATGTCTCTGTTGGTAGACTTTCCTCTTCTAATTCCTCTATATTTTCAGCAGAAATCTTTACAGAGGTATCTCCCATCTACAACAAAAGGAATATTATTACAAACTTATTAGGATATTATATACTTATACATTTTTATAACATTTTTATGTTACTTGTGATAATGTCTTTGTTGGTAGACTTTCCTCTTCTAATTCCTCTATATCTTCAGCAGAAATCTTTACAGAGGTATCTCCAGTCTACAACAAAAGGAATATTATTACAAACTTATTAGGATATTATATACTTATACATTTTTTATAACATTTTTATGTTACTTGTGATAATGTCTCTGTTGATAGACTTTCCTCTTCTAATTCCTCTATATTTTCAGAAAAAGTCTTTACAGAGGTATCTCCAGTCTACAACAAAAGGAATATTATTACAAACTTATTAGGATATTATATACTTATACATTTTTATAACATTTTTATGTTACTTGTGATAATGTCTCTGTTGGTAGATTTTCCTCTTCTAATTCTTCTATATCTTCAGCAGAAATCTTTACAGAGGTATCTCCAGTCTACAACAAAAGGAATATTATTACAAACTTATTAGGATATTATATACTTATACATTTTTTATAACATTTTTATGTTACTTGTGATAATGTCTCTGTTGATAGACTTTCCTCTTCTAATTCCTCTATATTTTCAGAAAAAGTCTTTACAGAGGTATCCCCAGTCTACAACAAAAGGAATATTATTACAAACTTATTAGGATATTATATACTTATACATTTTTATAACATTTTTATGTTACTTGTGATAATGTCTCTGTTGATAGATTTTCCTCTTCTAATTCCTCTATATTTTCAGCAAAAGTCTTTACAGAGGTATCTCCAGTCTACAACAAAAGGAATATTATTACAAACTTATTAGGATATTATATACTTATACATTTTTATAACATTTTTATGTTACTTGTGATAATGTCTCTGTTGATAGATTTTCCTCTTCTAATTCCTCTATATTTTCAGCAAAAGTCTTTACAGAGGTATCTCCAGTCTACAACAAAAGGAATATTATTACAAACTTATTAGGATATTATATACTTATACATTTTTATAACATTTTTATGTTACTTGTGATAATGTCTCTTTTATCTCCTGTTGAGGACTCTAAAATATAGATTTTAAATTTACTATATGTAATACTTTCATTAAAAATAAAATATTTTACTTAGAAAATTAGAAACTTTTTCTATGTCCTCCGTTGTTTCATTTCCCTTATTGTCATTATTGTTAAAAATAGTAGGGTATGCATATTTGCGCAATATATATATCCCTAATTTTTCATATATTAATTGTTTATATGCTTCTGGAACAAAGTGTGCACTGCAGACATAGGTCTCTTTTCTTATGGGTAAATCCAGCAAGTGGGTTGGAATTGCCTGCACCCATTGATGATAACGAAGATATTTTAATGGAAATCTGAAATACAAGCCATATAACAAATTTCATACACATAGAAGTTATATTATACATATATTATAAATATATAAATATAAATAAATATGTATATTATGTGCATATAACTTATAAAACATATGATATAAATAATACTTTGACATTACTTGTGATAAATTATGTCCAGATCACCTGTGGCATTACAAATTTTGTTTGAACAAGTTTTTATGTGACATTGTTTATATGACATCATTCTATTAAGAGTTTGAATTACTTATTATTATACAGTCAACACATCTATCTTACAACAGGACCAAAATTTGCATTTAAGATTTCCCACGTACGAAACTAGAACTAGAGAGAAGCCTGAGAACGGTTACCAGGGGTACTATTCCGTGCCCGCGTACAGTTATCGAATTGGTAGGCGTCGTTGCGCAGCTTTTTTATATCGTGGAAAAACTGTCCGACAACTGTCGGAACCACGGTAACGGAATACGGCTCCAGCTTGATTTAATTAGAGATACTTGAATCAGAGTCCGAAATAATGAGTGCATTTTGATAAAGCATTGGCTTGGTTTACATCGTGCACTTGATACGCGTGCTAAATAGTAACTTTCTATTAGATAATCTTAATATCGACAATGCATATCAACGGCGACGCATTCAATCAATACAATACGTTTTCTTGATGAGTATTATATCAGCTTAATATATCGTTGTTTATATATATCGTCGATATTAAGATTATCTAATAGAAAGTTACTATTTAGTACGCGTATCAAGTGTACGATGTAAACCAAGTCACTGAGTGCGTTTTAAAGTCTGTTCTTTTCAGCTGCACTGTTGCTCTGGTGCAATAAGTTAGAATGAGACAAATATATTTTATTTCACTTTAGCTTATTGCATCAGTGTAGCAGTGCAGTTGAAAAGAACAGACCATTGGTAATATACCGGGCCCCTATTCTTGAAATAGTTGCGTATACGTAAGTTTTAATGCGCAGGTTTAATCATACTATAAAATAGCTGCGCAATTAAAATTATGTATAAGGTAAACGTCTCAGTGGTCGAACATACATGTCCTAATGATTGACATATTGGTTTTGTATTTTTCTTTGTTGAAATGCTTTTCAACATACAAAACAATATAATAAATGAAAAGAAATATTTAGTTACTTCGTGATTTTGTTTCATTTATTGATAAATATTTTAACAAACACAAGTATATTATTAGTAATTCAATTATCGGTACACGTTCAATCACTAGGACGTTTACCTTACGCAAAAGGTCCAGTTTTTTAATTCATTGATGGATCCATCGCATGATGCGCAAATGCAATGTTTCGCTGTACTTACGCATCATGCAATGGATCCATTGATGAATTAAAAAACTCGCCTAAATTGTCAAGAATAGAGGCGCTGATACCGGCTGCGTTCCGAAATTCACTGCCAGTACTGAAAATCTATAGTATATATAACATAAATTATAGGTTTTCAGTACTGGCAGTGAATTTCGGAACGCAGCCACCGTAGCGCTAGTAGTGAACACTATTGGAATATTCTTTTATATAAAATTGGACGTTGCGCCATCTGTGGTCTGTTCTTTTCAACTGCACGCTGAACTGGTGTAATAAGTTAGAGTGAGATAAAATATACTTATCTCACTTTAACTTATAGCACCAGTTCAGCAGTTAGCTGAAAAGAACAGACCACTAGACGCGACAGTGGCGCATCGTGTCGTCCCACAGTCAGATGTGGTTGGTTACTGCACGTCGTGATTATTCATCGTCGAGCAGACGATTTGAGTTGTCCTCGGGGTAACCTGGAGATCTGTGACTCCGCCAGGAAGCTTTTCCGGAAGCTGCTGCGACTGTCAACTGCGTAAGTATATGTGTATTTTCCATTGCATATTTCACATCAATTGCCGATATTGTACGACACTGATCCTTTCAGAGGTATATCACGCGCTTCTCAACAAGAGTGCTTTGACATTGTCGAACAAGCTGGGTCATGCATTTGACACATACATGTTTGTGCTTTTGTTGTTTTTTTCCAACTGTATCTTCTACACTCGCCACTGCCTGTCAGCAACCATTTCCCATTACTTTTATGCGATTTTGTTTATTATAACGAATGAAAAATAAACGCAACGTTTATTTCAGGTGGTACAGCAACATGACGAATCCGTCATCGGACCGCCTGAAGTATATTCATGACAGCAGCAGCGATACTGAAAATGATTACAAAGAGACTGATGGGAGAGGAAGACACCATGTGATTAAGAATAGGATGAGGTAAGATTTCGAAGAAGCCTTCTATCCCAATCCATAGAGTTTCTATAATTAGAAGAAAAACCTTCGAACCATAAGCTGCATAAAAATTCCTCAATGTACTTTTAGAAGTTTTTAAAAATAAAAGAAAATTTTCAATTAAAGAAAGGGTTTCCTTTTTTATTTCGCAAACTTGACTTTCTTACTTGAAAAATTTCTGCATGATATGATCAGTCTCATGAAGCATTTCTGCACTAATCAGGAAATTTGAGTTTCAGTTTTCAAGAAGGTCAAAGGAAAATGAGAAAGTCCTGATCCTTTTTTTTGATTGACCATAGTTATGCAAAAATAATCCAATAGACATGGAATGCATTTAAAAAAGAATGAGGATGAAAATTTGATATATGATTTAAAAAGTATAGTTAGTATAGATAGTATAGATAGTACTGATACATGATTTAAAAAGTATAGATAGTACTGAGTTTCTTCACTAATTTCAAAAAGTCAGACATTGATTTTCTTTTCTTTAAAAGTATCCATTGACAAACTTAAATCTAAAGAAAAAAAATAAAAAATTTAATAAAAAATGGGGCAACTAGTAGAAAAAATAAGAATTGTTTTTAATTAATTTTAAACGTGAGGCTTGAATCTTTTTTGTTTTAATAGAAAGATGTATGAGCTACCAACTGGTAACAACAACTCACAAAAATCATAATTTTGTGCATTAAATCATTCTTGCATAACTATGATCGATTTTCAAGGACGCAATCGCATTTTTTTTTGCAAAAACTTGTCAGTTTCTCTCAGGAGGATAAAGTAGAAGGAGGGAGATTGATTGTTTTACAAATTTCAAGAATTTTATTAGCGTAGTGGTAGTATATAGTAGACATCACGCAGCGCGTTCGACATGCTTGTCGATGTAGTGAATGCGATTAGATTGTAAGCGAGATTACGTGGTTGGTTGTTCTGTGCATGTGTAGTTGTGTCGGTGGCTCCGCGAAGCCGAAATCTTGTCTGGTACAGAGGGACGGCAGCAGTGATCGGCAACATTGCCATTCGTTTGGTTCACTCAACAGAACTCATTCGCAGGATGCGAGTCTTGGCAGGTAAGAACAATTCTACTCATCTCGTCCAAAACTCTTTCTATTCTTAATATTTTAGTTTGCTCGTCAATTCTTAGTAAGCCTTTTAATTCTCTCCAATGCTTGAATAAGGTAAACCACATAATTATTGGCGTCTTTCTTAATCATTGGTACTCTAGAATATGAACAAGGAATCAATCCTTTCAAATGAACTCCATCTTATCGTGTAATTTTTTTTTCTAAGTATGAAATCATGAATAATTTTGCAGTACTTGGAAGCAATCATGAATCTTTTGCTTCAATATAAACTCGTTCAATGAAAAGTGAATATTTCCATATATCTTCAAAGTTCGATTTTTCATCTTTCACAAGTTGACATTAAGAAAAAAAGATTCATAATTTGACTTCCTGGTTTTTCATACAGCCAGTTGGAGTTCTTCAAGCTTCTCGTTTGCACTGTACGATTACAAAAGAAATTTTCATAATTGAAACTGAACAGATACTGCTGGTCGCAAAAAAATCGGGTTTTTCTAGAATCTTAGTGACTAGGAAATGCCAATAATTACGTGATTCACCTGATCAGTTTATCTACATCGTCTATTTGGTCCTGTTGTAATTTGTGTTATACCTCTCACGCACTTTAAGAACTAAATTATTGTTCAGTTATAAGATGTATCTTTTTTTATTCCCAAAAAGTTATTCTTTTTTTACGAGATTATTTTCCCGTTTGCGCAATATGTTGAACTCAAGAGACCGGGCTTCACAAATTACAAGGTAGGTCCCGCAAACCCCGTTTCATTCGCAAGTTGAACGTTTCAATTCTTTAATGGCGCGCGTTACTCTACTGGAGAGAAGAGAGAGAAAAAAGTCCTTCTTAACAAAGACATTTTTCCACAGAATCCGGTCCAATGTTGGTATGGCGAAGAATCAGCAGCAGAACCAAAGCAGCAGCAGTAGCAACAACAGAGATAACATGTCGTCAGGTCCGACGGGGTCCGCTATTAGCGGAGGAGGAGCCAGTAATCCGCCAACTAGTGACGAGAGAATTACCCTGATCGTCGATAACACCAGGCGAGTCTGCAAACCATTTAAAATTGAATATTTCTTATTATGACTGTCAATATATTTTTAGTTATTAACCTTTTCAGACTCCACGCACATTATAATGTATACTGGTTTACTACGTCAAAATATCTAAATTAAAATATTGAATCTGTGACAGCAACCATATATATACTTTTGCTTTGAGTATATTTTATTACTAAGATTGCATACAATCTCCATCTATCGGATTGTTTTCGAAACACATGACATTTTTTTACATTTCTTTTTTTTGTTTTAAAAATAATCAGGTCTGAAGGGGTTAAGACTCCTCATGCCACTGTTGCGAAACTCTAGATTGATAAGAGAAAGGGGTAGTTTTTGCAGCATTTTACAAGTATGTTCAAGCAATCTGAAGTGTTCTTTTATACGAATTTTTTTATTTGAAAATAGTACGCAAGAATTTTTGGCATGTGTTTTCTCACTTCTGACGTCGTCAATCCAGAATTCCACAGCAGTAGAATTAGGAGCCTTAATTTCAATTCTCATGTGCCTTAGTTTTCTTTCTTTATCAAATTTATTTATCTTACTAATTATTTCTTTATACTATTTCAGGTTTGTCATCGATCCGACGTTGTTCACTGCGCATCCCAACACCATGCTAGGCCGTATGTTTAGTTCCGGGGTGGAATACGCACAACCAAACGAACGCGGCGAATACGAAGTCGCGGATGGTATTTCCGCAATGGTGTTCCGCGCTATTTTGGAATATTACAAGGGCAACGTAATCCGTTGTCCACCAACTGTAAGTGTTCAAGAGCTACGGGAAGCCTGCGATTATCTGCTGGTGCCGTTTGACGCCAGCACAGTGAAATGCCAGAATCTGCGTGAGTATTGCGAGGCAACGTAAACTCCTCTTTGAAACAAGACACGCGGAAGAGTACGAATGAAAGAAAATTGTCGTTACAGGTGGCTTGTTGCACGAACTGTCGAATGAGGGTGCGCGTTGTCAATTTGAGGTATTCTTGGAGGACTTGATCTTGCCCCTGATGGTGAATAGCGCGCGACGTGGCGATCGCGAATGTCACATCGTCGTTTTGCTCGAGGATGACGTAGTCGACTGGGACGAGGAGTATCCACCGCAGATGGGCGAAGAATACTCGCAAAGTAAGCGAAGAGTAATCATCCGAAATTCATCAATTTAATTCTTTATATACTCTTTTTTAATTCTTTATATACTCTTTGTACGTCCAATTTTTTGGGACGACCTGTAGAATTAGCTATAAGTGGAACTGACCTTCAAATGATAGGACACGCGTGTAATTTTTTTCGTCGTAAGACGTGCAACCTTGGTGCATTATCGTGATCAACGCACGTATGTGTATATATCCGATGAAAAATCAATTAGCTCGGCCTTTGCAAGTGCACGGCGTCCATTAGTTCCGCTTGTTTTCTTCAATAATGGATGACCATAAGCTGCTTCGCGATATTAATATGACTTCGCGACGTGCCCCATTTAATCTTCTCTTCCAACCCCGCTGCCGCCGAAGAGTGCCGCGATTATTTACTGACGCACCAAGTCTCCTGCTAGACCCTGGCAACTTCAAAACTTAAGTCAACTTTTACAATTTTCGGTCGTTTCTATTTTATCTTCTTTTTTCTTTGGAAGGAAAAAATCTATCAAATAATCTCTCTCACACACACACACACACACACACACACACACACACACACACACACATATATATATATACGAGAAAGTAACATCTGTTTTCCGATTAGATATTATAACGATCCTTCAATGTTTCTCTCCAAATTTCTCTCATTTGCATTTTATCTTTCCACAGCTGTCAATAGCACGGCGATGTATCGCTTCTTTAAGTACATCGAGAACCGGGATGTGGCGAAGCAAGTGATGAAGGAGCGCGGATTAAAAAAGATCCGTCTGGGCATCGAGGGCTACCCGACCTATAAAGAAAAAGTCAAGAAGCGCGCCGGTGGTCGAGCCGAAGTCATTTACAACTACGTGCAACGACCTTTCATTCACATGTCTTGGGAGAAGGAAGAGGCAAAAAGCCGTCACGTGGATTTTCAGTGCGTCAAATCCAAATCGGTCACGAATTTGGCCGAAGCGACGGCCGATCCTGCTCTGGACCCGGCCCTGACGTTATTGGAAGCGGGTGCGCTGCCTCCGAATCGTCAGGGTACCGCCGAACCACCTCCGTCTTTGGCGTACGTGGACGGACCTATGGGTCCGGTAGCTGATCCTGATTTGGATCCGTTGCCAGCTGATGAACTCCAGTAATTACGACTAGTCGAGGCCTTATGTTGAGGTCTAGAACACCTTAAGCCTTAAGGAAAGAGTAATGCGAAGATTGGTAAATCATGCGAAAAACTTTGGATTTAACGTTCATCTAATTCTCGGTAAATTTTCCGATCTAAAATTTGTGATTTTTCAGTTTCTAAATAGAAATGTATCTGTTCCCTTTCGGTCAGTTTGGAAAACTTTTCGGTTTGAGTCTTCGCGGGGTCTCTCAGATCTGTTTAAAACGAAAAAAAGACTTATTGAAGTTAAAAGAGGATGTCTTATGTAGCGTCCCTTGTGATAGCCGTTTTTTAGGTGACAATTTATCGTCATGTTAATTCGTGAAAATACAGGCTGGTGTTCTTCCCTCCCCCTACGAGTCCTGCCTCCCCACCGACACCTTTGTGGTGTTTTACAGTCTTGTATATAAGCGTGTTTAAACCTAAGACTCTCTGCGCTTAATGTATTATTATTATTATATCTTATATACCGCTTTCACGTTTTATACCGTTTAATAATGATTAAATTAACGATAAACTCATTGATAAATAAAGTTGAATACGATTTCACAATAAACAGTGTGATCCTCCTTTTATCTCAGAACTCGCGGTCTATCCGTGTTAGATCCGCGCAAATGTACTAGTGTGTCGCGCTTTAGTCTTTTATTTATCTTTATAGATATATATATATATATATGTACACTCAAGTGTATAAAATTATTCTTAACAGAATCTTAAAGAAAGATCGTGAGAAAGTGCGTCAGCTGCATGCAGGAGCTGCTAGAGATCCAAGAGATTAAAACTTAACAAAAAAATAATCGAGTGAGATAGATCAATAAGCAAAATCATCGACTCTCTCCTTCTTTCATCTCCTCCTATTTCGACTAACCGCTTAGTAGGTCATCGAGAAGGAAGTAGTTCGGGAATGTTCGGGTGGGGGTGTGAACGCTCGCGCACAATACGAAATGGAACGAGCGCTTGCGCGCACTCCGACCGGCCGGCTGGTGCGATCAATAGGCGCGCCGCGCCGCCGCTCAGTCGCGTCGCGGGCAGGCGAGCGATCAGTAGTGAACGGGTTCGCGAGCGGTGAGGTTGCGCGCGTGTGTGTGTGTGCGGGGTGTGCAGCGCGCGTAAATAGAGAGGGCGAAATAGTGAACCCCTTCTCCTCCTCCTCCTCCTGCTTGCCTGCCTGCCTGCCTGCCTGCCCGCCTGCCTACCTGCCTACCTGCCTGCCTATTTACCTGCTTGCACCACCTCCACCCCGACCGGCGTTGTGGGGGCGAGAAAAAGAAAAACACACAACACAGACTCTCGTCGCCTCAGCATGCAACCTCCACCGAGAAAAGTAAGCAACCCTGAATTTCCCCGAGGGTGGAAAATCCCGTAGAGTTCAGTCTCCTGTACCTTTGACACGCGAAAATCGTCCTTACGTCTTGAGGACCAATTTTATGCCGTCGAAGTGCACTGTAAAAAAAGGGAAAAAAATCATGTCATGTATGTCTGTCATCGTGATTGCAAATGTAAGGACTATTTTCACGGGAAACTAATCTTTCTAAAAATTATTTATCGTAATTATGTATGCACACACACATGTATATGTGTGTATAATATATATATATATATATATATATATATATATATATATATATATATATATATATATATATATATATATATATATA